ATATTCACCTGAGTACACTACACCAACACAGAAAAAATTCATATTACTAGAATACATTGGTATCGAAGGAACTAGATTCTGTTCCGAAATATCACATAGTCGAACCGTCCTGACCGCGTAGCTCAGTTGGAAGAGCATTGGGCTAGTATTCCAAAGTTCGAAGGTTCAAATCCCACCGTGGCCGGGCATATTTTTCAAGCTCGCTCGGTGTGGATATACACTCAGGGTAACACTACAAATATCATATTCACCTGAGTACACTACACCAACACAGAAAAAATTGAACGAGTTAGTTTGAACCTTCGTCGTTGCGTTTCCACTCGGCATACGCAAGGCCCGTATTAGAGTTTTGTGCCATTTAGATGAAAATTGCACAAAACTCAACAGCACCGTTTTGTGCAATTTAGATGAAAATTGTAATTCTGGTGAATTTTACTGTCCCAGCGGTATATGTATATCATGGACTTCTACCTGTAATGGAATATGGGATTGTCCAGATGGAGCCGACGAACCAAGCATTTGTGGCAACATGACCAGAGGTATTTGAAAGATATATTTTCATTTTAAAAGCACAAATCACATTTCATACGATCAGTGGAATATTACTTATTAACTACCATATAAATGTCTATTAAATACAAGCTAGCCTATCAAAAAATAATGAATATAATAAAAATAATAAAATCTATTGAAATGTCAGTCATTACAAGCAGTGAATTAAATACTAATTGTTCTTACTATGCAACCGTTCATAATAATATTTTCGCTACGATTACGTATTTCAAATGTTTCAATGCATTTGCGTTCATCTTGGTATGTTCCATTTTTATGCAATATTTTCCAAATTATGTCAGATTGTCATATTCACAAATGTGTTTTATTATTAAATGTTTAAACAATTTAGTCCCAGAATATTTAAGAGGATATTTTGTAAGGAATCCAGACATTAATTATTATAATACTAGAAGGAAGGATGGTTTGCACTTAAATAAACCAAATCTTAGCCTGGGCAATCTTCCAGATGAGTTAAATTAAAAAGGCAGGGTCCTTGTCTAATTTCAAGGCCCTTATACAAAGACACAGTTTTAATAGCCTGCGAGCAGGCTCTCTGCATGGGTGAAAGAGAGCCTGCAAGGATCGCTATGATGATTGTGTGCCCCCCTTCATGTCACGGGTCAATTAATATATATATATATTAAATAAAAACAAATTCGACGAAAACCAAGCCGGTTAGTTTTACTGTTTTTATACGTAGAACTATAGATAAAATTGCTTTGTTCCTTAATTTGGTCTATTCTTTCTTGCTTTCGTGCTATATATATATATATATATATATGCAATATATATATTGCAGCATGAAGCAATTCCAACAACTGAATTAGTTAGCGGGTATATATATATATATATATATATATATATATATATATATATATATATATATATATATATATATATATATATATATATATATATATATATTTTAATATTGTTTCATTAAAGAGAAGTGATATATTAATGCCTTGTCCCTAGGTTTCGATTTTCGAATTTGTTCAGTTTTTTCTTAGCCTAGAAGTCAGACAAGCCCAGGAAACAATAAAGCATGCAAGCTTTCAGTACTCGTCTTTATCTGAATACTATATTAATTAATTTACAGTAAAAAATCAACAAGGATAAAATCTCTACATTGCCGCAATTCCAAAGCTTTGCGTTGCTCGGTCTTACAAACGGGAAGTGTACTTTATGGGAAAATCACTTCATTTGAATCACTTCATTTGAATCAGTTATCACTTCATTTGAATCACTTCATTTGAATCACTTCATTTCAATCACTTCATTTCAATCACTTCATTTGAATCAGTTATCAACCAATCAGAGCCCTGCGTCCAAATATTGGACGCATGCACGTAAGTATTATAGAGATCCTTGCAGGCTTTCTTTCACCCAGAGAGCCTGCTCGCATGCTACAGTTTTAAGATATTAATACTCATTGTGTGTTTGATATACAATAGATCTTAGCATTAGTAGAATTAGATTATTATAATTATAACCTTGAGTTATATACGCACTTAAATACTATATATGTACTATATAATTATTATATCTTCTTATTGCTGTAAATAGATATATTTAAATATATTGCTTTAAATAGATATATTTATACGTGGGATGTAAAAGCTTGTTGTACATATGCACTTTTTACGCTTTAATCGGTTACGCATGCGCAATCTATCACTTAACGTACCATATTTGGACGTGCATTCGTCCAAATATTGGACGCATGTACGTAAGTATTATAGAGATCCTTGCAGGCTTTCTTTCACCCAGAGAGCCTGCTCGCAGGCTACAGTTTTAAAATATTAATACTCATTGTGTTTTTGATATACAATAGATCTTAGCATTAGTAGAATTAGGTTATTATAATTATAACCTTGGGTTATATGCGCACTTACATACTATATATGTACTGTATAATTATAATATATTATTATTGCTGTAAATAGATATATTTAAATATATTGCTTTAAATAGATATATTTATACGTGGGATGTTAAAGCTTGTTGTACACGCGCACTTTTTACGCTTTAATCGGTTACGCATGCGCATCCTATCACTTAACGTACCACAACAAAAATGCTAAATATATTAGTATAAAATCGAAGACTGCACGTATGTAATTTAAATAACAGAATAAATAATAGAACAGAATGGCAACTGACGGGTGCAACGCGTCCGTAATTTTTTATGCGCATGCGTGAGATCCGCCATTACTCTGGCCAGTAACTGGCTGCTGACGTACTACAGAATATATAGCGAAAGAAGATGTTTGGGTTGGAAAATCGCGTTTTTTGACCAGGTTTATCAACGATTGTGGGAATTTTGTACAGAAATCAAAATATATAAGGTAAGACATAACGACTGAGCAGTCTACAGGAATTTAGATACTTTTCTCGAGCAAAATCAACATTCTATACAACAATGTTTACAGTTCGATACAATTATATTTTTTGTGAAGTTTATATGAACACTCATCTGAGTCAATTGGTTATCCTCTTCAGTCCTAATATTTCTCATCATTTCTTATCATTATTGTCATAAAATAATTGATAACCATTTGTATTTCGAAAAGACATTGAGGTTTTATTTATTAATTTGTGTTTTGACTCCAACACGCTACGCCATTTTACTTTTGAACGCAAATTTTCGATATCTTGGATAAGAAGTTATTTGTAAAAAGCAAAAATCATGTTATTATGATAAAAGACATTTGCTGAGCGAAATAGTGCTTTAATAGTAATAACTGCATGTCGATCCAAATCGTAATGAAGAATATTTCTATTTCGTTTTTATATGCAGTGATTACTTTAGGTTCAAATTAAAAATACTATTTCATGGAGTTTTAACGCATTTACCAGAAATTTTGAGATGCATTTTTTGTAAAGTGTCAATATTTCCAAGGTTTATATTTGATTGCTGCCCTACTACATAGGTTTTTAAATTTTATTTAAATTTGTTTTCTGTTGTTTCAATTGAAGTGTTCCTCAAATATTGATTCAATATATTACCTCGGGCTGACCAATTCATTAGTCGCTGTGCAGAACCCGCAGCGACTCTAGGTTTCGGCACGCATTTGTGTCGGATCTTGGATCGTTAGCCACAAAATGACAATTACGTCATTAATAAAAAATAAAAATTACCTCATTACTATTCGTCGCTGAATTCAAGATGGCCGCTTACTACGAGCGAATGGTATCATCGATTTTGTACATATTTTTTTTATATTTCCGATGAACCTTAAAAGTTTTCCGATGAAACAGACTTTATAAAGCGAAAGTCATTTTATGTGTGTAAACTTGGAAGGCTACAAACTTGAAATAGAGGACAAAAGTTCACAATTTTCAATTATACAAAGTTGGAACGGGCCGCAACCTTTGTAAATCGCAACAATAATATTCGCAAACTGCTGTTTATTTGGGTGCTTTTTTTACAGCTGTTGATGCAAATAATCCTGTTACGGATAGGTGGTCAAAAGAACATGGTGTAGCCTAACAAGACTGAAATACAACCACGGTGATCACCATTCATCACTACCTGTGTGAAATTTAAACTTTGCCGCTAGGTGTCAGGCTTTTAAATCTGTAATATTTCGGTCATTTTATGATCAATGTATTGTGTTTCTAACGCCGAACGGGAAAATGTTGGAGCCACAGTAATAGACTCTTTCAAGGTCAAGATGCCATAATGAAACACAAAGTGTAAGGGCTGCAAACACAATGGAAATTCCTACTAGTAAATTTGCAAGATTGTATAAACACAATGGTGAAAACAATAAAGCCTGCTACTGAAATAAAGCCTGCTACTGAGGTCAGTAAAAAGGATTGATGCACATGATTCGTATGCAAAATTCCCATTGGTCAGAAATAAATACAGTAGCTTTGTTTTTAAGGTAATGCCAAATTGTCGTTTATGTAATGATATTCCGTGCTTGTAATTGTACTTTAACTACTTTTGGGCATGTTAATGACTGCCTTTGCTGCAGTCAATAACAGTTATTATTATTATTATTATTTAATATGTAATTCCTGGCCATTCGATGAAAATTGGAATATTTAGTTTTGAGATATTGGTGGAAAAGTTGACCGTTATTGTCATATTTTAAATTAGCTTTGATAATCTAATGTATCAATTAATTCCAGCAGTTTCCACCCCTGGGCCTTTGCAGATTTTCCTAATCACGGGGGTGGGGCTATTGCCGATAGTTTTTAGCCCTGGAGTGAGGATTTTGACATTTTCCATCATGGGGGATTTCGCAGATTTGCTGGAAAACTGATATTTAATTTGATTGCAAATGGCTTGTGGACATAGCCATTTTCTTCCCAGAAATGGCTAATACCTCGGGGGGATGGGCACTGCTGGAATTGACTGATACGTAATTAACAATCGCCATTTTGATTGGTTGTTATTTTTGTGCATCCCAATCACTGTCCACTTTTTATTGACTTCAGTAACAGGCTTACCCTGTGGGCAAAGTCCTCTCGTATTTCTTCTCAGCACGATAGAGACTCTGCAGAACTTGTGTATATTCTTTGTGGAGCCGACAATCCAAAAACTTGGATAATTATGAGTAATTTCAGGTTTGCTACCAGTTTTTTTATAGCTAGTTTTGATCCGAACCGGAAACTACTTATAAAATCTTCTTCTGGGAAATAGGCAGTTGCTTAGCAACCTTTGTGCATGCTCAAATTAATTTATACACAAGTTCTGAAGAGTCTCTCTCGCTTCTCTGTGCCATGCAAAGAAGAAATACGAGAGGACTTTGCTCACAGGGTATAACAGGCTCTATTTCAAGCATTGAGCCTGACACGCAAGCTACCTTCAAAGGGCCTATTTGGCAACTTTTGTTGTGGTTACCCAGCCTGAGGCAAAAGTAATAAATTATGAATTGTTATAAATGTTTTGTGAATTGCACATATTTTCCCTGCAGTTAGGGACCAGTCCTTATTTATGGAAGAGGGAGGGGGAGGCAAAAGGTGGGGCCATGACCCCATGAGTATAAATAATTTACTAGAAAGGAGGGGTGGGCATTAAGTTTTTTGAGAAAATCAGTTGAAGGGTCAAAATGTGGAGTTGCAATAAATTTGTTTAAGCCTGGTTTCCAGTGTCCTCGAAGTTGGCCTAAGCCCATTCTCGTACCCAGAGCCCTTCTTACGCGCGGTCAACGGAGCACGACGAGGGGCTCTGGCCAAATCCATAACCGGATACCATAAAAACATGGTATCCGGTTAAACACTGCGCATTCTCAACGTCAAACGCGGATAAACACTTCGGCTTTCTTGTTTGTTTCGTTTTGAAAGTTTTTCTCCAGGAAAACCCCACAAAAGCGGTAGGTTTCGCTAATTTTATTTATTTAAATCAATTAGTAGGTAAGACGTGATGTTCTCAATGCATGTTGATAAAAATTTAGTATATATTTCCCTCTTAAACGTTGCCAAAGCAGTAATGGCTACGGATACGAAGACGTGAGATTGTCTCACTATTTTATATTCGATTTTAAGTCGCTGTTGTACAGATTTTTAGCCTTTTTTGTTTTTTATTAAAAGTCAACAGTCATACATAAGACATACTATACTGCAAATCATTTGGAAATTGTAAAAAAATCGGTTTCTAGGAAGAAAATAGTCATCACAATTAACTTCGTATTCTGGCTGGCTTTAATATTTTCTCTTCAGATGGCACTTCAGCTTTGAACATGTAACACAGATTTGTTTGATTAACATCACTGATTTGGAAATACGACAAGCATCTGCCATAAATATGCTGACTTTTTGCTATGAGAACATCAAGTCTCAACCTATTAATTTCAATCAACTAATTGATTTAGATAAATAAAATTAGCGACATCTACTGCTTTTGTGGGCGATTATCAACAACAAATCTTCCTAACTGCTTCGTACTGCTGTTCTTTCAACTTTAATAATGTCTTTTCTCCCAATTTTCAAAGGGAAACCAACGCTTCGTGGAGCGCTTGTGTATTTTTATTCATATTTACTATGATAAAACATATATTTGGTTGTGGCCAATCAGAAGCCAGTTTGATATGGATTTGGCCAGAGCCCCTCGTCGTGCTCCGTTGACCGCGCGTAGGAAGGGCTCTGGGTACGAGAATGGCCTAAGCCAGATAAATCCAATAAATGATATTAATATATTGTTTTTTGCGTAAACGCTATTCGTCATGATTCATCACTCAGCAAGTACCGTAAATAGAATATATATGCTGGGTATGTTATTATACGTAATATACGCTTCAATTTAATGTAAAATTCAACCACAAACGCTTCGCAAAACGTTTTAAAATGTTGTTAAAACTAATCGGCCTTAAAATTATCTGTAAACATTGAGTTTGAAACAAACTGATTTCAAATTCTCGCATGAAAATAACTTTGCTTTCCGGCCTCTTTATTTAAATACTTTAATATACAATAGAAAGAATAATTAATAAAACTTCACTGCAATTCTGTCTCTGCTGTCTTTTTTCACTTATATACACAATGATAGTATCATTATAACTATCAGTTCGATATTCACAGCATTGCCCTCCACTATCAGTTATAAACATATCAATATTTAAAACAAACTTACCTTCATTAACGTTGGCGACTTTGCTCTATATATTCTCTTAGACATTTTTAGACATTTTTTGGCTCTCAGAAAGATTTTGAAATTTACAAAATGATGCAAAAATACAACTTGCATAATAAATGTTCGTTATTTCGCTATCGTCAATGCAGTCGTTATAATGCAAATTTCAATTTGACCAATCACTGTTCACTTTTCACCACAGTCCGCTACATATTTTGGGATCAGTGAGGAAGACCACCCATGAACGGTGAGCCATGCGCCCACGATATTTGCTGAACTTTAGATTTGGCTAGTGCGTTCCTTTCCCCGGGTGTAAATAGCCGGGCGGAACTAGAAATACATGCATGCAGTAACCCCTCGCCAATATTTTACAAACATTAAATTAACATGAAGTATTCAGAAATGGTCCACTGAACACAGGCTCGCTCTCAAGTGTTGCCATAACAACACGATATTCTTAAATTTTTAATTTTTGTATCTGCGAAGCAGATATATTGCTATCGCAAACGCGACCGTCAGTGTTACCGTATGTTAACACATAGCCATTCAGCGCGAGGAGGTTATATAATTTAAGCCAATTTAAGCCAATCAGCGATTGGTTTACATCAATTGTTTACATCGTGCCCGCATCTAACCTGTTAACGGGCATACTTTAGCCTCGTCATGCCTCTTGTGGAAATCGTGTTTATATTCTTTCAAAAATATCTTGATATTTTTATCAATTTGTCTTGAATTGGCTGGCTTTTTTTCTCGCCATTCTACTTGCGATATTATTCCGAAGTTATTTATCAACATGGAATCTTATCCCCATCTGGTAAGTAATCAAATACCACATATTTTATATTTAAATACCAAATTTTTGCAAATATATGTCCCACATATTTTATAATACATGAGTTCGCCAGTTCGGCAAATATTTACTACAGGCTACTCTCTTTAGTTAATATTGCCGTATTTTCGGCGTAGATTTTACATGGAATTTTTTTTATTAATATATTACACTGTATAAAATATTGAATATTTTCGAGGATATTTTAAGCCATTTGTCAACATAGTTCACAATAAATTTATACAGTACTAAAAGCAATCCTTCTGTGACTTCTGTAATCCGTAACTATATTGAATCCGTAACTCTGTTCAAAACAACGGTCCAAGTATAAAGCTGTCACCAAATGTAGTGTTAGAGCAAAGGTTGAAGATGTTATCAGTTAAAATTCTATACATTTTGGTTTTACACATTAGAGTTAATTAAACAAAATTTTTACCAACATTTTCAAGTAAAAGAATCCTCACCCTCCCGAGCCTCATTACATTGCCATTTTGCTTTCTAACATAAATATTTCTCTTTAGAGATTAATACAAGAATGAAGAATAATAATAACACAATTATTTTGTGTGAATGTGCTGTATGTGTTAAACCGAACAGTGTGGTATATCATTAACTGTGCACAGAACTGGAATGTCATTATATACTTCACTCAAGACCTTCTAAACATTCTCAATTATTCAGTGGTCTTCGACATGTTCACCAAATATTTTGTGTATGTTACTCAACAGTTAACATTGGCAAGTGTAAACAATAAGTGACATAACTTTTGCTTGATATGATTACAATAAAGTTTTGAAAATTTGATGAGTATGGATTGAATTGACAGGTGACAGTTTACTAAATAGCCGGCTGTATAGACACTTTGAATATTGTTTGCATGAAATTTTTATTTCCTGACTGCATAATTATCTGTTACAATTATAATACATTATAAAGTTTGTTAAATTTTCTGGGTGGGGTGGGGTGGGGTGGGGGGGGGGGCACTTGCTCTGCAGCACTCCCCGCTGTGTACAGCCCTGTTTTAAATCTTATCTGCTATTATGATAAGTGATGAAATATTTCAATTGTCCCATGTCATCTTCATTATTCAGTTTCTTTCAAGAAAATACAAAATGTGAATCAAGTTTTTTCGCAGATACATGTACGCATCGCGTACCTATTTTTCATATTTTTTGTACAAAACTGCAAAATAGTTCAAAGATTCGTACTTTAACTATACAACAACAAATTTCCATATTATACACTGTAGGTATATTATTTTGCATTTTGTAAGCTTTGATTTAATGTAAAATTTAACTTGAAACGCTTCGTAAAATGTTTTGAAATCTTCATTCAACTATAGTTCATTTGCCGATAAACTAATAAATATAAAAGATACTAAGTTACAAATAAAAACAAATTGTTAGATAATTTCAGTTCAGTCTTCAAATCAATTTGTTCTCCTTTAAATTTTAAGATTTTTCCTCAGATTAAACGGTAATTTATGATACTTAGAGCTTCGTTGAAAAGAAAAACAGTTCTTGTTTTTAGGCCAAAAGTTAATTAAAGAAACAAAATTCGTAAACATTAAATATTCAAAGGAAACTTGCCGTATATTTCACGATTTTCCATAGTAAATCTATTCTTCTCATCTCTTCAAACAAAATTGCTTCATTTAAGCGTTGTATATGAAACGATTTTCCAAATATATGCCTTTTAAATTGAAATCTAGCTCATCCCACTCCTACAAGCAATCAGTCATATTTTAGAGATCAGTCAGGATGATTGACCAGCCACTGACTATCGTTGGTGACCGACGCCCGCGAAATTTGATGAACTTTAGAGTTCGCTAATGCTTTCGTTTCCCCTGGCGTAAATAGCCGAGGGGAATTAGTACCCTCGCATGGCGCTTCGCGCCGTCGGCTCGGGGATTAGTACCCTCGCACGGCGCTTCGCGCCGTCGGCTCGGGGATTATTCATCGTAGGAGTGAAAAATTGAAATTGCGAAATTACCGAGAAATTAATACTCATGTGAGTCATGTCTAAAGGATTTAGAAGAAACGTAAACGGTATAATAACTTATGTGCAGCTGGATTTCGTTGTATTCAATACTTTATGAAATACTTAGACAGAAATCAAGATTTCACTATTTGAAACTACAGCAGTATATGGCACC